GCCAGAAGCGTTGTCATTGGAATGAGGTTTAAGCAGCCGTTTATATATCATTAGCATTGTGATTGACAGCGTTAAATGATCATGCTCTTGGCACTTTTTCTTCATAAAGACCATAAAGAAACTCCCTGTTTTTCATGAAAGCTAGAATCTGTAGGGCTGGTTGGAGGAGAGATTACTCACACGTGCACATTCCCGCTCACTGTAAACGTGTTAAACAAACATTGTTTCTATCAGATACATTCACATAGCTCTCTTCAGTTAAATATGACTGTAGCAGATAAGCCATGTACAATATATCATCAACACAGTCAGTACAGCGAGATAATTGGAGAACAAGTTTTTATAAAGAACTAGAATACACCAGACTGTTTGCATTCCTTTTTAATGTCTTTGTGTTTTTAAACGCGTCTATATACATTGTTGCACTCAGATCTCATGATCATGGCTTTGATAAAAATATTAAGCAGCACAACATTTTCCAGCAATTTTCATTTTGAAGTATATTGAAGCATAAATGATAATTACTGCATTTCTGATCAAATAAATGCAGCCTTGGTGTACATATTTTTTAACTGTAATATATTTAACATTTTTGTAATTCTGTCTATAATTAATTTAAATTAATTCTATAATTGTACACGTTCTGTAATTTTACATTAAAGGTGCAATAGGTGATTGTCTTCTGAAACATTTTTTGTTATGCTGGTTGCTCGGTCCGAGCGTTTTAATATGCTTTCCTACCTGCCTGTCAACATATGTATTAGCATACCTCTGCACACCGGGTTCACGCAGACAGGATACGCCATTAGCGCTTTCATGCACGCTGTGCAGACTGCAGACAGAGCGAGAATGGCAGACAAACATCAACAACCCGATCTTCCTTCCTGGTATTGTAGTACTTTTAAAGTTTTCTCACCGGTGAATGACACATGGGGAAGTCGTGGCCTAATGGTTAGAGAGTCGGATTCGTAACCCAAAGGTTGTGGATTCGAGTCTCGTACCGGCAGGGATTGTGGGTGGGGGGAGTGAATGTACAGCGCTCTCTCCCACCTTCAATACCACGACTGAGTTGCCTTTGAGCAAGGGACCGAACCCCCAACTGCTCCCCGGGCACCGCAGTAAAAAAATGGCTGAAATGCTCCGGGTGTGTGTTCACGGTGTGTGTGTGTTCACTGCTGTGTGTGTGCACTTTGGATGGGATAAATGCAGAGCACTAATTCCGAGTATGGGTCACCATACTTGGCCACATGTCACATCACTTTTACTTTCACATGATGTAGCCCAGCGGTTAATCCAGTCCTTGCGCCAGCTCGTTAGAAGTGAGCTATGTGCATGAACTGTGTTCCGATCGATATGATCCCTACACAGTGTTCATTGCTCCCTACTACCTGAGCGGGCGAAATCCGTTGAAGTTTACTTCACTTTGGAACATACCGCTGATGTAGCCTATTGTAGTAATGTTGTCTCTGGTATTCTGGTCTGTGAGCGTAAATGCGTTAAGGGGGCGTGGGTTTGGACGGCGATTGCAGGGTTTGGCAGGTGGGACGTTCGTTTTCAGTGCTATTAGGCTAAAGTTAGCATTTTCCAAGATCTCCTACTGCACCTTTAACATTATAGTCTAAACAAATGTCTAGGCTCATGGACAACCTGAGTGAAACCAGGCCTTATGATACAGGGCCAAATGACATCCATTTCCCTGTATCTCCGTACAAGACACTACCACTCCACCAGTGTGCCAGAATGTCTCAGAGAAATAAACAGAGACTCACGATCAACAAAACACACTCGTGCGGTAATAGAGTCCCATTCTGCGTGCGCGACACAAGTCATTCGGAGCCTGCCTGCATTGCAGGACCGTAGCTTGTCTATGTCTGTTAAGTTGACAAAAATGTCATGACACAATGCATTACACAGTCTCTGAGACGAGAATGACAGCTCACAAATACGATTTAGAGCTACAAGTCTGGATACATGTAATTATGTTGTGCTGTGTTTGGATAAGCAGAACAGCATTGTTATGCACACAACAAACACAGATAAAGCCCTCAACTTCAACCATGTAAATTTTCAATCAAGGAGCTCGTAAGCTTCGGATAGTTAAGCCAAATGTTTTCATTTCAGTTTGACGGATTAAAAAGCGAACAAATAAACTGTTTGGTTTTAATCTCTCAAGTTTAAAGTTGTTCATCGACAGTGAATAGAATATGTTGTGTTTGCAGTCAATCCAGCATAGTTTCAGCCCAACACAAATCACCCCCACCCCCCAAAACTCTCATTGGTGTAGGTTTTGTAAACACATTTCCATTATAAAGGTTTTTCAGTATTGAAAATAAGAATAATTATTTATTGATCAAAAAATGTGCATATTAGAATGATTTCTGAAGGATCATGTGACACTAGGGCTGCACGATTATGACAAAAATCATAATTGTCGATTATTCCCTTGAAATCATAATTAATAATCGCAATTACAATTATCACAATTTACATTGAATGATGTTTATACCATTGTTTGATGCAACTGCATGCCATATTTTTTATATGAAAATAAACAAGCTGAAAACACTCTAACTGAAAAACCTTTAGTGCTTTTCTATAGTATTAAGCCTCAAATATCAACTATACATCGGATTTGTTTCTTCTTTAAATTATAAAAAAAGTAAAAATATGAATGGTATTATAATGTTATACTAAAACTAAGACTAAAACAATGGAAAAATCCTTAAGATAACATGTAGAAAGAAAAAAAACATATCTTAAGCATGCAGAATAACATAAGTGGACTTTGAACGATTACGAAATTGTGGCATCCATAATTGTAATCGCGATTAGAAATTGGATTAATTGTGCAGCCCTACACTGAGACTGGAGTAATTGCTGCTGAAAGTGAAATAAATTACATTTTAAAATATACTGAAATATAAGCCAATAAGTTATTTTAAATTGTAATATTTTTTCTGAATTAAAAAGAAAACTTAGCAGACCCAAATTGTGAATGATAGTGTATATCTTTCAAATTAAATGATTAAGTTAATAATAGTAATGAATAAAAAATGAATAATCCCTCTGTCAATCCGCTCTGCATTCTTTTAGCCTAACTCGGATCACCCTGGAAAAACGTCCATTGTTGTAGGATTTCTAAACACATTTCCATCATGAAAGTTTGAATATGCCCAGCACTCAAAACAAACAATGCGCACATGTCGTGAGGACGAACGTCGAGTGTGTTTCCTTCCTGCTGGGGGACATGGTGACTGAGAAAGAACAGTGTTGGACTCAGAGGCCTGGCGTGATGTGGTATAGGGAAATGTCTGATTTTGCCTGCCTGTTGTCAGAGTTTCCTTCTGTGGACAGACAGTGTGATCTCACTCCTAATAGAGACCTGCAGACACCTAAACACCCGTTTCTGTTCAGCCAGTAATTATGGTGTTTATTTCCTGTGGGTCACTCACAGCCTCCTGGTCATCAACTTCCACATCTTTTTGCTGGCATCGTGCGGCTACAAAGCGTGTGGCGCTCTTTCGGCCTCTCCGGAGGAGAGAGTTTCTGCCCTCACTCAGCGTCTCTCAGATGTGAGATGTGGTTACATAGGCATTTTCTATTTACGTGTTCATCTGTGTCCATGCTGGACGGAGATGATGAATGCTTCCTCTGAGAGGTAGCCGGCTCTTTGTGGGCAGGTTAGCAAGGGGAGACAGGGACAGAAGTGGGAGAGGGGGCGACTCGTGGGCTCCCCGGGGGCAAACTGTGCTCTGAACCTTCTTGACTTGGCTTCCATGCTCTCTCTCACGTGTGAATTGCCTCATCTGGCCCAGAGGATTTAAACTAATGTCAGCCCGAGACTGGGTGCACTCTTAATCATCTTAGGAGCGAGAGCTGGCAGCAGCCGGGGTTATGAGAGGGAGAATGAGGCCTGCTTGCTGTCTCCTGAGACGCTGTGCAGAGGCAGGGTGTGTGTGCTTGTGTCCCAGGTTGTTTTAGAGAGAGATGCAGACAGAGAGATACGTGGGAAGGAGGGAAACGAGTAAAGAAAACGGGGCGAGATGACCAAAGAGACTTTATGCACCGTGTGCATTCTGAAACCAGACAGATGACTTTATGACCCGCTTATTGGTGTCATATTGGCTTATCTGCTAAGGCTTGCTTCTCTTTAAGCCTGAAGTCAGCAGGAAGCATCCACAAGTTTTTTGTCTTTGCTTATTAGTCTGCTTACTTTCATTCAGTTAACTGTCTGCCACATAGCTGTCAATCAGCCACAGGACGCCATTATGATGCTTATTAAATATTGTTTTAGGGAGTCTACAGTTGAGAGAAAACTCTGATGGAGCGTTTGACAGATAGGATTGCGTGGATGTTTTTGTAGGGTATGTAAAGAGAAGTGATATGTGATGTTGGCATCACAACATTATTAAGATTGCATTACATTCACTGTAATGTAATATAAAGTATAATTAAAAAAATTTAACTATTAGGATTGATTAAAGATCTTTGCACACTGAGTCCAACATTTTCGTATGCATTTTTTGTATTCGCGGAAAAAAAACAACGACCCTGATCCGAATTTTTTTATGACGGACGAAAGTCAAAGGCAGTGTGTAAACGTAATTCTTACAGCGTGAGGTCGCATTTATTTTTTTACGTGCGAAATTGTGCAATGACCTTAATTCAGTGTTAGAGATCAACAGTGGCAATCTAAATAGAAAAATTGGGTGAATGAGCATCACAATTACAGATCCACTATACAGCATTTTAGAATTTGAGGCTAATGATAAATGTCTTGTGAGTGGGCTGATCTCCAGCTGTTGAAGGGAAGCAGGTGTGAAGATAAGAAATCATTGTGGGTCTCCGTCTTATATCCTTCCTGCATGTATCAGGCAGTGGAAAATTTTGCATTTAGTCACTTTCATCTGCATCAGACCTCCTCTTTTGAGTTTTGCACATTTTTTTTACGTGTTTTCTCTCTTTTTTTCTCTTTTTCTCACTCTCATTCTGTTTCATAGATCGTGGTGTGGACACCTGAAGAAAAAGAAGCAGAAAGAAAGCGAGTGAGAGACAAAGACTCGAGAAGAAAGAGTGAAGTACAATGTGCTAGGGGAGTGAAGGCAGACAAACTCTCGTGTTTTTCTGATATTCTCGGGGTGTCAGAGAGACCAAGCAGGACGCCAAGATGGGACGGAAGAAGATACAGATCACACGGATCATGGATGAGAGGAACCGGCAGGTCAGTAGCTCCTTTACACATCATCCTTCTTTTATTCCCACAGTATCTACTGTATGTATGTCTCGGAACCTAGTGAGATGCTAGCTAAAAAGCATTTTTTGACATTTGGAACAAGGCATACATAATATATTGGTACCAAATTTATTATTGATTGATATTACAGACTTTTTATTTATTGTATCCTCTATTTTGACATTTAGATTACCTTTGCTGTCAAAGTAATTTTTTAATAACACTGATAAATGTAATCTTTAGTAAAACTCAAAGCGAATATCCATTTTTCGTTATGTAAAATATAATATTGTGATTCCTAAATTCCCTTTTTTTTTTCAGTGTTTCATTTAAGCATTTTTTGACATTTGGAACAAGGCATACATAATATATTGGTACCAAATTTATTATTTATTGATATTACAGACTTTTTATTTATTGTATCCTCTATTTTGACATTTAGATTACCTTTGCTGTCAAAGTAATTTTTTAATAACACTGATAAATGTAATCTTTAGTAAAACTCAAAGCGAATATCCATTTTTCGTTATGTAAAATATAATATTGTGATTCCTAAATTCCCTTGTAGCTTATAAAAAGTAGGTTTTCAGTGTTTCATTTATTTAGACAAAATGGATTTTAATATTGGCCATATATAACTTAATCAGCCATATAAGCCTGCATTTTTAATATTTGGGCATCCTTTATTTGGACATTTGAAACCCAGAGACAGAAAAATGTCTGTATTTTAATTTAGATTTTTTTATATAGATTTATTTTTCTAGTTTTTGATAGTAAATATATAGTTTAGAGTCAAATTGAGGATACTTACACTTCCATTCAAAAAGTTTGGGGTCAGTAAGATTTAAAAAATGTTTTTTTAAAGAAATTAATACTTTTATTTAGCAAGGATGCATTTAATAGTTCATAAGTGGCAGTAAAGATGTTAATGAAGTTTAAAAGGATTTCTATATAAATGCTGTTCTTTTGAACTTCTCTTCATCAACAAATCCTGAAAAAATTTACCCACAAAATTGTTAAGCTACACAACCACTGATAACTATAACAAATGTTTCTTGAGCAAATCAGTACATTAGAATGATTTCTGAAGGGTCATGTGACACCGAAAACTAGAAGAGTAATGGTGATAGATTCAATAGAACTTGAATGCCTTCATGAGCTTGTACACAGCAAACACAACAGGCCTGAAAGACCTATTTAATTATTGCTTAGTTTGGGCCATCTGTTCATTGGCTAAACATGTTGTCCCAGCATTCCTGGATAGACACACAGCAAGAGCCATAAAAAGGGACTGGGACACATTTCCAGCCATATTTACAGACGTGGCTCCCACACCACCCTGCAATTTTGGTCCGGACAATTTGATGAGGCAGACAGAGCTGGTACGAGCCAGTCAGTGTGGCAGCGGCATGGAGCAAGGGGTGACTGGGGTGAAGTGGGGCAACTATGGCCTTTCCCTTTTTCCTCTCTCTCTCTCTCTCTCTCTCTCTCTCTCTCTCTCTCTCTTTATTTCTCTTTCTCTCTCTCTCCACACTGGTGGATTTATGCTGGGGCCCGGCAGGACCCGTTCCTCCCTGCGGTTGCAGCTGCTTGGTAGTAATTAGGAGCAGCCACTGCACCACGGCACCCTCTCATTACAATGAGGAACAGTGGGACGCGCTGTGCCCTTCTCTCTCACTCCATCTTCCTCTTTCTGCTTCTGTCTCTCTCTCTATTTTCCTGTCCTTTCCTTAGAAAAGTGCCAATGATCTGGTCAGCGACAGAGACAGACTGGAATTCACCCTTGTCTACTCGCGCTAAATATAAATAACATAACACAGTCCTGTCTGGTCACTGTCATTGCAGAGAAGGGAAAACACACATACAAAACAGATGTGGGGCACGTACAGTTCCTTTCAAACATACATGGCATGTCTAATGTCCGTTTGAAAGGGGAAGCCACTCCATTTGTCATGTTAAATGATTTGATAATGAAAAAAGTATGCGTCAGCCGTCAGTCCACGTCTCTCCAGTTAGACTTGACGCACCCATTCACACCTGCTCAAAATATCATTTGCACTGTCTCGTCGGTGAAATAACTTTCTTGCCTTGCTCACGGAAAGCTAATTGAGGTTTTGCTCACCCTCCTGAGGGTGATAACATAACAGCCCGTGCCCTCCTCCCCCCTTGCCCCCAGCTCTCCTCCCACCTCTCTGACAGTTACTGTGGAGGTAGCAGTTCAGCCAAGTGAGAAACTCGAATTTACAGGACAGGCCAATTATCAGCATAACACCAGGTCCTGGGTGGGATCCAAATAGGAAGGCAGGCAAAGAGAAGATGTCTACTAGAAACATCAGCATCTGCACTATCTGCCCTGGCTTACAACATCAGCAAAAATAAAAGAAAAAATAAAAAGCAAGAGAGGGCAGAAAGAATCAGGAAAAAGAAGAGAAAGTTACTGTATAATCACTTTGTGACGGACTGTTTATTTGAATCAGTGTATTATATTCAACCGATTTTAATGGGATAGTTCATCCAAATTTAGTTTGTATGACATTGCTCCAGCGATGCTGCAGAAATTGAAATCTTTTAAAAATAGAATCTGCTGTTACTCGTCGCGAAAACCTTTTTGTCGTGTGTTGCAACGTTAGAATATTTTTTGTGTTCCACTGCAGAAAAAAACACATACATGTTTGGAAGGACACGAGGGAGGGTAAATCATTTTTGGGTGACCCCTTCAAGAATTCATACTCGCTGTGGCTCAAAACTTTAAACATATCACAAATACCGCCTTTTCTTTTCTCCGTTGTTATTGCCATATACACGTAAGTACGAGAGACAATACACCGCATGGTAATTAATAGCACTCTTGTCCGTCAGAATCCGAATTTTACGGCACTCATTGGAGAGAGCAGTTATCAGTGGCACACAGGCTCAGCCGTGAGTGTGGTTGACTTGCTCAGCAGAGAGTTTTTGGAGACAAATGGAGAAAGATGTAAGCCCTTTATTCAAGCTTTTGCGTGCATTCACACAAAGTTCTTCCCCCTCGCTAGCATGAACCCAGTCTCCTGCTCGCTCTAGGGTGCTCTCCTCACCCTGGGGAGATGGCCATTAGTATACTGGGCCCGCTGAAAGAAGACAATTAAAATCCTTATCTGTGCGGCTGTGCCGGGAGCTATCTTTATTCATTGCATTAGAATGAGAGAATGCCTTAAGTGGCCTAATTAAACAGTGGCGGTACTGAATGCTGCACGGGCTTCAGCAGGGGTGTCTCGTATCATTATGAGAAGGGCTCTGGAAAGCCTGTTGACCTATCAGGATTTATTTAGGAGAGCATAGCGGGGGTCGAGAGGTCCGCAATTGCAGTATCTGTCAAAACAATAGGTTCAGAGGCAAGCCGCGGGATGTTCATTGTACACGTATCCTGCAATATTATTCACCCCCGAGGGGTTTGGAAGATCTTGGTGAGCATCGGATCCATCTCTTCGATTGATTCACCAGGAAACTCACCAGGAAAAAGTCTGAACACACAACAAACGTCAATTCAAGCATTGATTGAGTCCCATCAGTGGAAGAAAGATATGAATGCATTATTTTTTGAGAATGAAGACAGAGCGTCTCGGCTCTCACTCGGCAGCGCGCTCACACTTTATGAAATATGGAGGAACTGGAGGTCCTGTCATGCATGCAGCCCTGTCCTTCTGGAGCTTTCCACCAAAAGCCCCTTAAGTGCGGCCTGTAGGAGGAGGAAGGAATGACAGCGAAAGGAGAAGAAGAAGAGGAGAGGATTTGGTGAGCCTCACTGAACAGCTCAGGCTGACATGCTAATTGCAAAGCTGTGTAAGGGGGACGACTGCCATAATAGCGCAGGAGGACAGAATGATCCTGAACCCCCCTTCCTCTCGCTCTCCACCTGTCCGTCGTCCACTCGGTACACGCTCTGATTTCCTCTACGGCTCTTTAAGCCTGTAATTATTTGTCCTGATGATGTCGTACACCTGTCTCATGTGATAGTGGTAGTAACATGCTTTTGAATTACTCCCCTAGTATAAAACTTATCATTACAGTGATGGTCTCAAAGGACCCTAATGAGTGCTGCCTGTCAGTGTGAAAACAGCATCACTCCATTGTAGCACTGATTGTGTTGTGACAGCTCTTTGATTCACAGAGGATGGAAAGTATTATCGTGAACACTAGTGTAAAGACTCAAGGGAAGAGTTCTGCAAAAGCACGCACAGGAAAACTCCTTGTTAAGCCAAGAGAGAAAAATTGTCGCACGCGATTTCATCAGGTACCTTTTGACTTTGTTTCCATACAGTCGACATGTTCTCTCACAGCTGCGTTTGTGTGCCAGTGTGTGCGTTTGGACCTCTGTGCCTAACGACGTCCGCTGTACGCCATTAAGCAGGCTCACTAGGGGTAATTACCCAAGTCATTAAAAGTTTGATGATTTCACTGCTGGGTGGAGTGTCGCCCGCCCTTGCTTTGGCTTACTTTTGCTTCCGCACATCACATGTTCAGGAGTGCCGAGCCTCGCGCTCTTCGTTTTTCGTCCCTCTTATTTTTACATTTTTTTTAGCCGGAAAAAAGTGATGCACATCCTTCCATTTTATCGGACTCCTCTTCTTCTCTGTCTCCTAAAAGGTTCTGAGAGAACACCATTATTCTTTAATGATGAAAACATGGTTTAGAAACCAGGGAGTGAAAAAAAGGTTTCAGTAAAAAAAAAAAAAGATGACATTCACTTACTGTGCCCTTTCCAATATTGGGCATCCTTAAATGATAGGCTGTAATTTCAGCTAAAGTGGATTATTCAGCATCACTCCATTGTAGCACTGATTGTGTTGTGACAGCTCTTTGATTCACAGAGGATGGAAAGTATTATCGTGAACACTAGTGTAAAGACTCAAGGGAAGAGTTCTGCAAAAGCACGCACAGGAAAACTCCTTGTTAAGCCAAGAGAGAAAAATTGAAGCACGCGATTTCATCAGGTACCTTTTGACTTTGTTTCCATACAGTCGAC